GGGCCAGCCTGTTGGGTTTGTGGGTCCTCCAAGCAAGGGAGACTTTGGGGGCAATTAGGGGCACCTGTCGGGCCTCGGAAGGGGGGCTTTCTTCAGGCACATCCACGCGGTGTTGCTTAGACTCTCTCCACGGGCGGGCGGCCAGGAGCAGGCACCTACCTGGAAGGGGAGCAGCCCGGCTGCTGAGATTGTGGGAAAACTGTGAAACTCACCCCATTGTGGGACACCCAATCTGACCCTCTTCCCTCCGATTCATTCCCGCAACCCAGAAGCCATTTCTGAGCTCCAGTCGCACAGACACCCACGGAGTTTCGAGAACAGACTCCAGCGAGGCGGTGGGCGAGGCCTTGACCCTGACACCAGGACTCGAGATCTTTGGGGCCCAGGCTCAGCTCCACTGTCCGGCCCCTGGCAGCAGCGACAGAGGGAACGTCCTTCCCTCCGGCCCACCCCGCCCTCCCTGGCTTCAGGAATCAGGACCCACTTGCGCCCGGTTGGGTTCTGGCGGAGGGAGAGGAGAGGCTGATCCTCCTCCAGCCCTCGAAGCCTTCCTTGCGAGCCGGAGCGCACCGGCGTAGCCTGCCAAGAGACCTCTGGGCGCGCACGGTCTCACCCGCCCACCTATGTACTCAAAAACAGCCAGCCTCCCAGGGCGCACGGCCGCCCCATCAATGAACACCAGCGCCTTTTTTCACCCTTTTGCGCCTACACGCTGTCTCAGGCCTTCTCACATTTCCCAGTACATCCTCAAGCACTGGGTCTCGGCCATTTCCAGACGCCCTAGGCAGCTTTGTGACCTAAGGGTACGGATGACCGCCTGCCACGGTTGGGGTGGGCAACCTGAAAAAGGGAGGGGCCTCAGTCACAAGCCCAAACCCTCCTCGGCCCTTCTCCACCTGCCCCTCAACACACAAACACTTGCCTGTCACCAGGAACCCCAGCAATATTCCAGCAAGAGGTGGGCACTGGTGAGGTTGTGGAGGCCAAATTCCCTGGGTCCTGACTCCTGCACCCGCACGTGGCTGATCCCGGCTTTCCCAGACCCGAAATGGTGTTTCCTACAGGGACTAGGGAAAATCCAGGGGTAGCCTTGTGTTCCCTCCTCAGATCTCCCTGGCTCTGTTTAACTTCTGCTTTCGTGGCAGGTCATCATCACCTGCTCCCCAGGTAGACCTGCCACTCCCTTGAGATGCACTTTCGGGGTGGGAACAGCAGGGTCTGGGCCAGGACCACACCCCAGCCAGGTCTGCTGCTGAGCGTGAGGTGTGGGGAGAAGAGTGCCTAGGAGGCACAGCGATCCCCTTGGCTCCCCTGTGCACTCAGCTGCCCTTGGCTTTTATGCCCCCAACCAGGTGAGTCGGTGCAGGAGGGCTGGATTCTACCTTCTTTGTTCATTTTCACCTTCGAGGGTTGCATGGGTATGGAACCTCGCTGGAAACAAATGAAAGGCGGACAAGGTCAGGGGAAGAGAAAAGGAGGGAGACTTGTGCTTCCAGCGCTGTGTCCTTTATGGTCATGAGAGCAAAAACTCTTGGCTTCCGGCTGCCACCGGGGAAGGGGTGACACAGCCATTAGGAACTGTTTGGTGGACGCCTAGGGGGAGCGGTTGTATTCATCTGGCAGCATCTGTGCAAGAGTTATGTCCAGTTGGCACGCTCTGGTGGGGCCCGCAGCAACCTCTCACTGGGTCTAGTGGAGCTTGGAATGGAGGCCTGGCTTGTTATAGGTTTATGCAGTGGGTGAGTAGCTGCTCCAGTTTATTTTCAGAACTTCTGCATAGTTTCCCGTTTAAGTAAATATTTTCGGGGTTAGCTTTCCAAGGCGGAGGGAAAGAGGGAAGTTGCAACAAGTAGCGAGATTGTGCCGGAATAAAGCTCCAGGACAGGCACCCTGCCCCCTACTGGCCAGTGAGAGCTCCCGGTAACCTCCAGCGATCCCACTTGGGCCCCAGAAAGAAGGTGCCACAGGTGGGATCTCTGTCCGTCTGCCTCCTCTGGCTAGCACCATCTCTCTCCCTGGGGGCCAGCCACTGAGACCTTCAAGGAAAGCTTCCCTGCAAGGCCATGCCCTGGCCCCAGCAGATAGATAGACTAGGACTGGCTGCTGGTAGGGGCACGGGTGTGAGTGTGGGTTTGTATGCTACTGGGGAGAAGCATGATGTATATTTGTGTTTGTGTCTGTGAGTTTACGCGTGGGAGAGATTCATTTCGGTATGTATCTCATGTATATTGGGGCAGAGAGTGTTTAGGTTTTGCCTGAAGACATGTGTTTGTGTCTCTAAGAATGGGTTGAGAGTCTGTGTGTTTGCTTCTCTGTTTGTGTGTGTGAACATATGTGTGACAGTCCGTGTGTTTCCCTGTGTGGCCACTATGTGAAAGGGTGTGTGTTTTTGGTGCCTCCACAGGGCCTGGCACACAACGGCCTTTCAATCCCAGTGAATCGAATGATGAATGTGTATGTTGGTGTCCTTGTGAGAGTTCTTGCAGAGCCTGTTTCCCTGGGAGTGGGAGTGTGGAAAATAGGAGGCAGGTAGGGGTGATGTGGGCTCCAGGGTCTACTGTGTTTCCTCCCTTCCCAGAAGTAAGCCTGGGGCTGGTGGCTCAGCTCCACTGACTCAAGGTGGCGTCTATGGTCGCTTGAGCCTCTCTGGACCCTCAGGCAATAGCTGGTTCTTCACTCTGCCACTCAGTGAAGGTCAGGCAGCTGGGACCCTGTAAGCATAGATCTGCTCCTGGGGGGATCTGGGTTGTCCTCTAGAGCAGAGCCTCCAAGAGAGGCGGAGCGAGCTGCCAGGGCTGGAATTCCTCTTGTGGTGCAGGGTTGGGCCCATGCGGAGCAGTCTCAGCCTGCTGGCGACTCCCTTGACCTCCAGGCCTGCACAGAGCAAAGGCGGGAGGCATAGCCTCCTGAGCCAAGTGAGCCCGTCCAGCTGTCCGTGCGGCTGCGTGAATCTCGGCCGGGAAGGAATCCAAGGTACTTTGAGAAAGTATGCGCAAAAGGGTCTTCTGTGAACGCTGATTTCATCAAAGAGGAAATTCTCCAAAGCGGTCCCAGCACTCTAGGATCTCCCCGTCGGAAGAGCACCTCATTCTCTCTTTCCCGTGGGGTCCAGGTGGCATGTCTGAGCCGAGAAGTGTCCTGGTCGTGGAGGAGGAACATGCTTGGTACCCACAGCTGGCATGACCTGAGACGCAAAAGCCACAACTTCCTCCTTGAGGAGCCCTGAATGCTTGGGATCTGGCAGGACAGGCTTCAAGGGGTCGGTTAATGCGGGGCAGAGGTGGGACTGGGGCCCCCAGAAGGGAGAGGGCGCTGCAGGTTAATGTACCGCTACAGGGGAACCTACCGTGCACGATGCGCAGAGGTGCACCCCCCTCCCTCGGCCTCACCGGCCAAGCCCTGGTGCCCTCTTGCTCCTATTTAGACCACGCGCCCGCCAGCCGGGCCTCCCCAGTCTCCTCGGATTTCCCTTCCTCCACCATCCTTTCATCACTGTCCCAAAACGACTGATTTCTGAGCTTGGAGACCTTTGCTCCACATCCACACGCACCACCCGGGCTTTGCACTGGCTCGGCAGCTGCCCTTGGGGCCAGCGAATTTGTCCAGGGCGTCCTACCGGGTTCTGGGGACTGCGACCACCGCTAAGGAAACCTCCATGTTCCGATTTGTTCCCCAGCTTTGGCATCTCCAGACATACGTCCCTTCCTTTTTTTGGCACACAGCGTCTCTTTTCTTACCCTCATCCCCAAAATGAAAAAAAGAGGAGGCTGAGGGCCCTGCTCCGCTGATGGGGGAGAAGGGTCTCTAAGAGGAGCAGGCCACCGCCTTCCTGCTCTTGCAGGGAGCTTCCCGCACAGGAAAGGGGACGGAGGGCTTTGTGGGGAGGGGGGAGGTCTCAGTTTTCAGTCCCTTCACCTTAGGGCTGATACAAACGACGTGTATGGGGGAAGGCGGCTCCCGGTTTCTGGGGCTCCTGGGACATCGCTGCCCAGAACGGTCCACCCGGGGTGTCGAGTCCCTGTAGGGAAATCAGACACTGCTGCACTCCCGGATCACGGGCCTTGTGGTATATATCCATATATATATTTATGATTTCTAATTTTATTATAAAATAAAAGCAGAAATATTTCCCGAAGAACATTCACATGAGGGCGTAACAAGGAGACGGCAAGTCTGTGGCTCGGGAGGCACACTCTGCCGGGAGCACTGTGGCCACAGTCCCGGGAGGAAGAGGAGAGAGCACGGCAGGCCTCACCGAGAGAAAGAGAGGGGCAAGCAGCTGGGACATGCTCAGAGGCCTTGGTGCCCCGGTCCTTTCTCTTGCACGTAAGTTACTAGGCGCACAGCTGACACCTGCAGCCCCGCTGAACCCTAGGCAGGGCCTCTGGAGAAGGCCCGGCTCCTCTGCTCTTCCCCCTGCCACGTCCACCCAGGAAAGTGAGGAAGGAGGACGCAAATAGGTGTCCGGCACGAGGAGAAAGGCTGAGGGGTACAGGCCCTGGGGCCAGGAGTGCAAGGGGCCAGCCAGGGGAGAAACGGAAAAACAGAAAGAGAGAAACAGAAACCTACCAAGGGGTGACAAGCCAGAAATATAGAGGAAGGGGGAAAGCAAGAAGGGGAGGTAGAGAGGACAAGAGAGAAAGAAGGGAAAAGATCTGGAAGAAAGAGCAAGGAAGGCAAGGGAAGGGAAAAGGAAAGAAGGGATGAGAAGGTCGGGAGAGAGAGTATGAGAATAGTGTATAGTTTATTCCCTTCGCGGGTTCAAGGCCGGGTCCCAGGGCTCCAAACGATCTCAGAAGCAACTTGTTGAAAACAAATCCCGGCGGACAAAGACCAAACCAAAGAGCCATCCACCCTGCCCGGGCCGGCGGTTCTGCCTGCTCAGCGAGCGGGTCTTTCAGTACCTGGTGGAGCCGCCGGCGCAGGGCGCCCTCCCGACACCGTCTCTCCGGTCCCCAGCGCCAAGCCTGGAAGGCGAGCGCGTCGAGGCAGGCGGGGCTCTAGGAGCCCAGGTCCACGAGGTTGGCCGACATGGGGTTGAGGATGGAGTCCTGCAGGCCGTGGTGGTGCTGCAGCGGGTCCGCGCCGCCTCCGCCCGGCACGGGCACGGGTACGGCGCTGGGGCCCGGAGGGTGGCCCAGGCTGTGCAGGGACGGCAGCCCGGGGGGCGGCGGCGGGCTGAGCAGCAGCGCGGGGCTGGATGACGAGTGGTCTGGCGTCCCCGACGGCGTCTTCTCGTCCTCCGAGCTGCCTAGCACCGACTTGCCGCTGCCATTCAGCGACGCAACCAGCGGGTTGTGGCTGTTGGAGTTGGAGTTCTCGCTGTTCTCCCTGCAAGTGCAGGAGCAAAGCAGCCGGGTCAACGGGGGAAACCGAGGCCGCTCTGCGCCGCCGCGTCACCCGGAGCCAGACCCCGCCGCTCGCCTCCGCTCCAGAGGCGCCCGGCGCTGCCTGCGGGTGTGTTCGGTTTCTACCATTTTCTCGGCCTGGCCTGGGGCTCTCGCGCTTTCTGCCAGTTCTCTTCATCGCTCAATACACGATTTCTCTCACTTTGCCTTTTCACTGTGCGGTCTCTATCCCCCCATCTCTTCTGTTCTTAACCTCTTGAATATCTTTCCTGTTCTCTGTACGTTCTGGCCGCCTCCCCCCTTCGCTGAGCTGCTAACATTTCTTTGCCAGAGGAGAGGGGCCCAGGGAGCAGGGCTCGGTGGAGTTGGGGAAGGAGACAGGGAGAAAGGGAAGATGCCTGGATTTTCAGCTTCTTGGCTCCCTGAGCCAGGGTTGCTCTGTAGAAGTGGGGCCAGGAGAGTGAGGGCCCCTAGAGCCTAGGCTGAGGGCCCCATTTGAAGTTAGGGATCTCCCGGGCCTTCACCTCCCATTGCTTTTCTCCGCTTAAGGGAAATCTCTTTTTGCGGGGGTCAGGTTCCTGGAGCTAAGGGTCCTTGCTTTCTAGCTCCAACCTCGCAGGTCTTGTGAGCGCTCTCCTTGCTGGGTCTAAGGACAAGGCCCTAAGGATGTAGCACTCCCTTTCCCTGGTGGCACAGTGCAAACTTCAGCTGGGAGGCTAGAAGCTGGGGGCTGGGAGGGCAGCCCTTGGGAGAAGCATGGAGGGGATTGCTAATCCTGGCCTAGACTTTTCCATCATACAGAAACTGAGGGGTTCTGCAGCCCTCACCTGGGGCCTGGCCTGAGAACCTAGTTCTTCAGGAGTCTGGATGCATGCCAGGCTGGGAAGAGGGGGACCCCAGGAGGGAGAACCCACCTCCTGCTCTGCCTTTGGTTGTCAGCCCCGACCAGATCTAGAGATTTGGAATCCGGGGTAGATTTTCTCCTCACTGGCTTCGCAAGACCTTCTCTTTCTGTTTTCCTGGAAGGGAACTTCCCACATAGCTGGCAATGGAGACCTTACAACTGTACATACTCCAACCTCATTGTCTGGGAGGCCAGGGTCGGCCTGAAGCTCCCCCTTCCACTTCCAGAGATCTGGGTCCACTGTTCAGCAACCTCCCCCGACCCTAATCATTTACTCTGGGCTGCACACGCCCCATACCACCAACCCCAGGTGTCTTGTTTTGCTGTTACACTTAGGCTGGATTTCTGTTCCCACAGTCAGTTTTTCTCCCATTTCCTTCTTCATATTTGGGGTTCAGAGGAGCCACAGACTGGCAGCCACAAGGGCCTAATGGTCAACTGTTAAGCTTGTTCAGGAAGCCCTGGTTTCCTTGAAGACAAGCAACTCCCAGGCCTTCTGTTGCTCTCAGTTTACCCCAGACCGCTACCGGCCGCCCCCCTAAAGACAGTAGGGCCTGAGGGGAGAGGAGTCAAGAGCCTGGCAGGCCCAGGAAGGATTGCTGGGTCCAAGAGGGCAGGAAAAGGGGCATGTGTTTCTCTTTTGCTCTCCTACAGCTGACACTTCCGCCCCATCGTCTTGCTCCTCTTGGTCCTTCCTATGCAGGATAAAGTCTCCCTTTCTACTTCCATATCCAGACAATGAATATTCTTGCCCAGGCCCTTCCACATCCAGGTCACACCAGGAAAGTATCAATCCCAGTCCTGACCCCTAATCACACTTTGGCCTAGGGCTGAGTAAGGCGAACAGGAAGTGCGGGGAAGTGCCGGTGAATTCGCACAGGCAGCTCCAAATCTGCAGCCCTGATAGTCCCCCTCCGAACCCCTCGGTCCTTCCGAAGACTGTCAGACCCTGCCAGCCGTGTCCCCCTTGCACATGATCCAGCCACTGTCTTGCTCTCGCCCCAAAGTTCGCTGCCTCTCCACTTTTGTTCACAAGCGACCAGGAAGTTAACTGACAACTTCCCCGATCGCTTTGCCCGCTTTGGACAAATTTCTGCCCTCTCGATCTCCCACAAGACCTGAAGGCCGGCAGGGTCAGACGAGGCTGCAGCTGGGCCGCGGCAGGGACCGAGCACCCAGTTTAGGCCTCTCCCGGGGGCTGTGCACACGCCCCGCGACCCCCTCCCTGGAGCCCCAGGGGAGCTGGCGCCGAAGTTCTACTTACTCGTACCTTTCTTTGGCCTCAGCCGCGCGGTCGCGCTGCCGCCGGTTCTTGAACCAGTTGCTGACCTGCGTGGTGGTGAGGCCCGTGGCCTCGGCCAGCTCGCGCTTCTCGCGCGGCGAGGGGTAGGGGTTATGCGCGTACCATTCGCGCAGCACGCTGCGACTCTTCTCCTTGAAGCAGTAGCTGGTCTCCTCGCCGTCCCAGATGGAGCGCGGCAGCGGAAACTTGCGGCGCACGCGGTATTTGCCCACGGCGCCCAGGGGCCGGCCGCGCAGCTTCTCCGCCTCGATGTAATGCGCCTTGAGCCACAGCTGCTGCAGCTTGGCGTGGTTGTGCGGCGAGAACTGGTGGCTCTCCAGGATCTTGTAGAGCTCGCGGAAGTTGCCGCGGTGGAAGGCCACCACCGCCTTGGCCTTGAGCACGCTTTCATTCTTGTGGAGGTGCTCGCAGGCGGGCAGCGACCACAGGAAGCGGCCCAGCCTCTCGATGTTGCCGCCCTGCTGCAGCACCTCGCACACGCACGCCACTTGCTCCTGCGTGAAGCCGAAGGTGGGCAGCATGGACATGGTGCCGGCTGCGTCCCCGCCCGCCCGCGCGCGCCCTCACCGCGCTGCGCCGTCCGGCATGGGCGCCTCCCCGCCGGGCCGTCCGGGCCGAGAGGCGGGCGGGGCGGCCCCCCCCCCGGCCCCGCGCGGTCTCCCGGCGAACTCCGAGTCACTGCGGTCCGTCCCCGCGCCCGCCGCGGCTGCCGCGCTCCTCCGCGCTCCCGCCGCCTGCGCGCCTCGCCTGCGCCCTCGTCCAAGCCCGGGGGCCGCCCGGGGCGCCGCTCCGCATGCTCCGCGCCCGCCCGCCCGCCGCTCCCTCGCTCGCTTCTTGCTCGCTCTCCCTCCCGTCTAGCTCGCTCGCTGCTTTTTTAATAATATTATTCTAAGCGGGCATGAGGCGCGGCGGCCCGCGCCCTGATTGGTCTGGTTATCTGACCCGGGGCCTGCCCGCGCCAGACAATAGTCGGAGTCAAATTATTCGCCATGGAGACGCTGTCAGTCACTGGTAACCCGAGCCCCGGCGGGTCGGGCGGCTCCCCCCGGCCGGCTCCGCTGACAGATCGCCCGGCTCCGCGCAAAGCGGAGGGCGGCCCGAGACGCGAGCGGGAGGCGCTCCAAGAACCTGGGAGGCGGAGAGGACCGGGCGGGGGCCGGCGGCGGTGGTGATTGACGGGGCGGACGCCCATAGAGCAAAGGAGGGGACGGACACGGGGGGGGGCGGGGTGGAGACGCCCGGAGAAGAAAAGGGGAGGATCGAGGTGGGGAGGAAAGAGGGGAGAGGAGAAGGCGGGGAACTGTTTAAGGGGGTGCTGGGAGGAAGAGGAGGGAGAAGGGTGGAGGGTACCTCGAGGGGGAAGAAACAGCTTTCTCGAGGCCCCACTGGGTGCCCTACCCCCACTCCGGGTCTTCAGCGCCCTCCCGGGTCTGCAGTTTTTGGGATAGATTCTGCCCAGGAGCGGTCCAGTGCGATGGGAGAGTTTGGAAGTGCTTGGGCGCCTCTCAAAGATTTGGCTTTTTCTGCGGACAGCGCCCCGCCCCCATCCTAGGAACTCTGGACCTGGGCGGTCTTCAAGAGAAAGGGGGAGGGAGTAGGAGACAGAAGTGGAGAAGATTTGGCAGTGGCCGCAGGCGGACGCCTGAGAACACAACTTCGTGGAGGATCCCGCCTTTCCTCTCTGTCCTAACCCGGCCGGCTGCCCGGAGGTCGGTACCGCCCCAGCTCGGCACTCTCGGCTCTTCGCCGGGCGGGGACTCACACTTAACCCCACGGGTCCCACGGCCCGGGAAACGCCAGGCACTAACCTGGGGCCTCTACGGAAATTGACTCTTGTCTGCTGTGCCGGCAGTCGGCCCACGGGGAGGCGAGGGCACAGAGTCTAGGACGCCCGTGGCGCTTCCCCCGTGGGTGGTCCGGGAGGACAGAATGGGCGCAAGAACCAACCCGCCCTCTGGCCTCTGAGCTCGGACTTGGCTCCAGGCACTTCCAGCCTGGGAACCAGATCACTGAGCTCCGGAATAAGGGTCTTAAAAAGGGGATCCTGGTTTGTTTGTGTCTTTGTAAGGGCGCGTAAGGAAACACGTGGTGCTGATTCTCTGGGAGGAGGGCAAGTAGAGTAGGTGGAAAATCTGGAGGTGGGGGGGGTGGGTTGTTGCTGCTGTTTCTACAGTTTTTGAAAAGCCCGGGGCTTAGCTTCTTCCGGGACTGGTCCTTTCCACTTCCGTTTCCTGTCTTTGCTCTGAGCTGTTGGGGGCTGGAGTCAACTTTCCTTCCAGTTCCAGGACCCAAGCCAGCACAGAGCCTTGGCTCTGCCCTCAGCTTAGAATTGTGGAACCTGTGTCTAGGCCACATTTCTTTTTTCCCCATCCTTTTTAATTTTCTCCGGAGGTTGTGCTGGGAGCACTGGATGGGCGTCCAGAACCTTGGGTTCAAGTTTTTGCTTTGCTTGGTGTCTATGAGAAAAGTCTGTGTTTGTTTCTCTAAGTCTTCATCTCCTTAGCAAGATTTCCAAAAGTTTCCCCCTGCTCTAGCATTCTAGAAGTCCTCTGGGGGAGTTGCAGGCGTGAAAGAGTGGAACCCTGGGACTCACCCTAAGACTTGCTTTTGGACTTGCCCCGTGTGTGTTGAGACCAGGGCTGTCAAAGTAGGATCCAAGCCAGTGCCAGGGACAGCTCCCTGTAGAAATGCAGGTGGCATCTTCAGAGTCTCCGTCAGTTGGCTGGGAGGAACCCTGCCGCCTCCAGAGTCTATCCAGCGTCCTGTGTGCTGCCCAGGGTTCACACAATAGTCAGTCTTGGAGGCCTCTGGGAGACATGGGGAAGTATTTGTCCCTGGCTGCACTAATGTTCAGAGTCTTCCTTATTGATCCCCAAAAATGGGCAACCTACTGTTTTCAAGACCTCATCTTCAGCCACATGGTTAATGACAGCAGGCTGGCTCTCACCATGGCCATCTTACATCTTGGCAAGGTCAGGCTGGGCTGTGGGGGAGCACTGACACCACTCACTGGTGTCAGTGAGTGGGCCTGGGCAGTAGCTTCCTGGTGTAAGACTGGGCCAGCTTATGGTCTGCTCCACTTCACTTTCTCCCACTATTAGATGAGGTTTGTGTGATCCTTTGCGTCCCTGCTGATTCTGGGCTGGGCTGGGTCTGAGAATCCTCACCTTGAAAAGGCAGGTATCCTTTGCAACCTCAGCCACAGTTGCCACCATGAATATACCCCTCCCTGAACTCTTGGAGCTTCAAGATTGAACTTCCCCCAGAACTGGGTCCGGCCCTGTTCAGCCAAGGCACATTTTCGGGAACTTCTGACTCACTCTTCTTTCCAGCTTTGCCCTTTTTGGGGCCCCCGGCTGCCAAGCCCAAGAGTCACCCATGCCAAGAGAACAGCCGTGGACCTGGATAATATCATGTGTGCCATGTGAAAAGTCATCACAGAGCAAGCACAGAAAACCTGGAACACCATTACCCGATGTATGGGTGTATGAGCATATGCCACCAGCTCTGCCCTTCCTCCCGTATTTGTAGGAAACTGGTTCTAGCAGGTCTGGGCTAGAACCTCTTGTTAGCAGGGACAGCTGAGTGCCTGCCCTAAAAAGTTAGAAGCTCAGGTAGGCTCTTGACAGTCTGAAGCCCCCTCCCTGCCTAGCCCCCTTCTTGGCAGTCTTTGCCACAGGACAGAGCACATGGGAGGTATCTGGGTGAGGATTTGATAAATGCCGGCATGACCTTAAGGCGATCTCAGTCCCAGGTTCCGGTGCTCGGGGCACCTGCTGGAGAAGCCTTGGTTCTAACCCACCCCAATCTACCCAGTCCTACATTCCTTCCTTCCCTAAGACATACGGGGAGACCTGCACTTGCCATTTCAGTAAGCACAAACAGGAGAGGCTCCATGGCTGGGAAGGGGAAAACTTTTGTAGATTGGTGGAAATTTGGGATTCACTAAAATGTCTCCTTTCCGCTCCAAGGTGTGCTGGAAATCCCCTGGGATCACACTTTCTGGAAGACTGCAGCACAGGTGGATGGGTGTGTTCCAATGAGCTCACACTGACAGAATGCCTTTGCCCCTGACTCTTGGTCAGGGACAGTCCCGGGGCCTTTGTGTCTGGAGCTGGGCAGGGAGCTCCCCAGAGCAAGGCCCCAGGGCCCCCACAGATGGCACCCCTTGCCCAGCCCAGCGCTAGCATATTGCCCACTAGCAGAACTTTTGGGGAAGGGAGAAAGTAGCCTCGCCAGCCCCCCAAGGGCTTCCCTGACTTTGGGTTGAGGCCATTTGGGAAAGAAGGGGGCCATCTAAGGAGGGGCTGCTTACAGGCTATTTCTAACTCCAGCAGAGGAGGGGGCCAGGGTGTGTGGGGGGGCTCGGTGCGAAAGCAGAAGACCAGAAACCTTTTTTCTTTTAATCTTTATTTTTTCCAGGCTTTGAAGTCTGCAGAAATCCCCTGGGCATAAGACTATGGCCCTGTCACCGCCCCCCTCGGATTCTCCCCCTACAGCTCGCACCAGGCTGGGTTCTGGGGCGTCGCCGCCCCGGGGGGGGGTTGTTGTGGGTAGTGGGGGCAGCCGGCGTCCGCGATCTCAGAGCCCTCTGTTCCCGCAGCATGCTCGCTGAGACCCGGCCTCCCGCTCCCGCCTCGGCTGCGGCGTTTCGTTGCAAGCGGACAAGCGGCGCAGGGCGGGTGTGCGCTGAGGCTCGCGGCGCCTCCCTGCCGCGGGGCCCTGGGTCCCTTCAGGTTGCATGGCCGCCCCGCGGCCCAGAGGACAAGAGGGGTATTTGCAAAACCCCGCGCCCCACGGTTTTCTGTGTTGCCCAACGTTTGGGGGCAGTAAAGGCGCAGGCATTCCGCTCACATAAATCTCCAATTCAGAAAGTGGTCTCCACGGCACCCCAACCCCAGACAAGGTTTCGGGCACCGGGCTCCGGGCGGCAGGCCTTTGGAAACAGCGCGACTCGGGCCGTCGCCGGCACCGCACGTGCCTGGCACGGTCACAGGCCCCCAAGGGCCGGAGTAGCAGTGTCGCTCTTTGGGCCGGACCCACGGGGCGGCCTAGAAGGCCCTCCCGAGACAACGGTTTGGAGGTCGCGGGCTCGCAGGGGTTCTTGTTCAAACGAAAAGAGAGAGAACTAGGGCTCGGGGCCCGTTTGGAGGCCGAGAAACCGGTGCCTCGGCCCGAGGAGGCGCCGGGACCGGGCGAGACCAAGTGGGTCTGGTGTAGACCCAGTCCCGGGGCGCTGCCCACCCTCCGACAACGCCCGGCCTGGCTCGCGCGGCCTTCTGTCCCCGCCCGCGGTCACGGTCAGGGCTGGAGTCCCTTCCTGCCTGCGCCACGCTCCCTCCCGGGCTGGCGGGGGACGCCGGGCCCCTTCGCCTAGAGAGAGGTTGGGGCGCGGGCACGCCGGGCCGGGCATCCCGTGAGGCGGCTAGGCTCTCGGCTTCGGGTTCAGGAAGCCGCCTAAGTCCGCCGCCCGGTTTTTGTTTTTGTTTTTGTTTTTTGTTGTTTTTTTCTTTCGTGTGGGCCACAGAGGGCCTTTGCGTCCCTAAACCTGCCTTCGGCCGGGTCTGCCCGCGAGAGCCCCCAAGCGGCAGGTCCCAGAGTCCGGGTCGTTGGGTGGGTGCGCAGCGCCCCCAGGCCTCTAGCGGAGGAGGGGGAGGCCGCCGAGAGGGCCGGATGGTGCCTCCGTACCCACCGGCCCCCAGCACTAGCCGGACGTTTGCCCTGGCAGAGGGGCCACTAGCAGTGGGGCGCGTCCGGGAGGTGCGCTCCCTCGGAGGCGCAGTAGGTTGCTGGGGTTTGATCACGTGATCCTTGGGGAACAGACCC